TATATAATATATATATATATACACAACCTTGAGTCAACAACTATACCATTATATTATACATAACAAATTCTGGTAAATACTGTATTAGTAATTACATAAACATAATTGTATTATACACACACACACACACACACACACACACACACACACAGTATATACTATATATTATCATACCTTATATATATATATAGGTGAAAACTTGTGTCAACTTAAGTGGATAGGAAATAGTTGTCCACCAAACTTTTTATCCATGGATCTTGCCTAGGGATCCTTGCATGATATGAAGAAACTTTTTATATTAATAAATGAGTGGCTAAAAAGTTTGGTGGACAACTATTCCCTATCCACTTAAGTTGATAGGAGTCTTGCTCTATATATATATATATTATTGATTTATAGTCATTTATCATTCTAGTATTAACTTTGTCTAATCGTGTTCTATTTCATATATTATCAGTGTTTATGTTCACATGTTCATCAATAATTCACTGTATGCTTATTTGCAATGTATCAATGTTTTTATTAAACGAATTTATGCCCTTCTTATATCTACATTTGTTTATAAATCTAATTGATCTTCCATAGTTCGTGTTTTATGTATTATACATCTTTATTACGTATATTTATGTTGAATATATTTATATGATTTTTGACTACTTTAGATAGTGTTGCTATAATATTATCTTTGAACTTTTTTAACATAATTATAATTTCTTATTTTCGATAATTATGCCTTATATGTCTTATTTGGTTGAATGTGATTTACTGATTGCATTCATGTGTTTTGTTTATAACTATACTTTTGTATATCTTGAATGTTTATTCTACTAACTGATTATATGATATTTCTATTGTAATTTGATATATTACTATTATTATTTTCATGTCTTTTATGTTGTACATTATGTTTATCTAAATTATATATACATTTTATTATTGCTATTTTGTTTTGCTTACATAATCTTCAAATGTTTCTTTTATATTTGCTTGTATATGATTTATCTGCTATTTGCATTGCGTTTTTATGTTTTTGTGTTTTATCATGTTTGTCATCTAAATTTCGTATGAGTGATTTATATTTTGTTGAAATGTTTTGTCTTTTATCTTCCTTATGCTCTTCTTTATTATTTATATTGTTGAGTTGATATGCTTTATCATATATTCTAGTGATTGACAAGTGTTTGAGTTATGTATTTATATTTCATATAATATTTTTTATGCTATATTTGTTATATTTTACCAATTATGTGCTATTGATTATATTTTAACATTGTGATGTGTCGTCTTATGATACTATATCAATAATATCGTGTTGATATTATATTTTTCTATAATTGAATATTTATTGTTGACTTCTTGCTATTAAACTATGTTGACTGATACTTATATTTTTGTCTGTGCATAGATGTTGCGTTATATTATAATTTGATATGTATTAACTATTTATTTACAATATACATGTTTCTGTGGAATCTCTTTCAATTATGTGTTCACTCTCTTTATGTTATGCTTATTTCATTCTTATTATTTATACTACGTATCAGACTTTCTTATGACATTGATTTGCTTAATATATATTTGCATTAACTATTCACTTTTAATTCATTTGTATTATTCTCTATTGTGTCTTGTATAACTTATAATATACACATCCATTTTTTTATTCAACATTTGTTCACACATTTGTCATAACGTGCTATGACCTTATTTCCATATTTCTATCATTGGGTTCTTTGTGCATCACTCGCATTTTGAATTCCGAGGGCAGAATTTGTTTTAAGGAGGGTAGAATGTAAGGACCGTGAAATTTTGATACTAGTTAAAATAATTTTTTAGTATTTTAAAATATTTAATTATGATTTTTAAAAGAGTATTAATATTTTTCTTAAATTTCTACAATTTTCTATGATTTAAAGTCTAAGTTTAATATTTATTTAAATGATTTGAATATTTATAAATTTATTTAGAGCAGTAAATACTTCTGCAATTTATCCGTTGTGTTACCGATACTATTACGTATCATTTTGAGTAATATGTGGTATTATTATTATTATTACATATATTTTTGTATAATACGTTGTATTATTAATTACGTATTATTTGTATAATTTCTTGTATTATTTCTACTATTGCGTATTATCGGTCGTATTAGTACAACTGGTACGTTTTACTGTGTATATAATTATCCAATAATTATATGATTTTAAATGTAAGTAAATATATTTTTATTATTAATTATTTTTGTTTAATTGTACAATATGGGTATATTTCGACTGTTTCGTATCAACTATTGTATTAGTACAACATGTACATTTTTAATTATAGATAATTATTTTGTAATTAGTTTAATTTTTAAGTACCCGAAATTATTTATTATAATTATTTTTGTTTAAATTTCTAAACCCTAATCCCCTTAATATATATATATATATATATTATATATATATATATATATTATATATATATATATATATATATATATATATCTTTTTTTTTTCCCCTCTCCTTCTCTATGCTTTTCTCACAGCGCCGCCCCCATACATCTTATTCTCCACTCTCTCGCCTGCAGCTACATTCCTCTCACCTTCGCCGCACCCTGCGGCACCGCACACGACGCAGTCCTCATCGTCGTGCAACACCCGACCTCAGCACCCCAAGCCGAGCCCTCTTCCTCGTCACGGTCGAAGCTCGCGGCCGTCCGACCACATCTCTTACCTCTCTACTCTCGATCACCAACGACCACGCCGCGTCGAACCGCACCTCCTCCGCTGCCCGCAGCACCTCGCTGCCTTCCCCTCTCTCGACTCGACTCTTCCTCTAGCCCTGAGGCACCGCCTCCTCAGCCCTGAGCACCGGCCACCACCCTCTTCTCGCCGCTGTCCCAGGCCGCTCCCAAAGGCTCCTGCTGATAGGCCTCCTCCCGACCGCCACTCGCCATCCCCACGAGCTCACCGCCAGACTCCCTGGTTTCGCGCCGCCCTACTCCCGGCCAGCCACCACCGTACCAAATCACCGCCGACAGCCTTCCTCGAACCCCGACTCTGCCTTCTCGCCAGTACGCGTTCTGCCAGCGCTCCACGCCATCCGCCTCTGTCTTAGCCCAGATCCGAGTCGTCGCAGCGTCGCCCAGATCCGTCGCAGATCTGAGCTCCGACCACGCCGACTCGACGTCCGACGAACCTACCTCGTCGCTACCCTACTCGTGCTCAGTCCCGTCGACTCTCAGATCTGAACCGCCATCCGCTACATAGTCGAGATCCCCGTCAACGTCGATTCGTTCGACGAACCCAGAGGCAAGATCCTGCTTCTCTTTGATTCATTATTTTTATATGATATTTATACATTAGACTGATATGTTATTATCTGTGTGGGTTTGTTGAGAATATTATGGTAGTTATATTTTGTGAAGTGATTCTATTTATGATGAGTAGATATATTGAAAAGTAGTTTATGATTAATTACAAAATATTTTTGAAAGAAAGAATAATTTTTAAAAGGGAGTATTCTGAATTATTATTATGAGAAATATTTTAAAAGGATTTACTTTGGAAGAAGTAATATTAAATAGAATATTTAAAGATTATTTTATAATTATTGTAATGAGAAAAGAATTTACTTGATGTAAAAGGGATTTTTTAGAATAATAATTTAAAAGAGTTATTTTATAAAAAAGATAATTTTAGAATAATTATTATGAATTAAAAGAATTTATTTTGGTAGCGGAATCATTTCTGGATAATTATAATAATTTTAAAAGAAATTATTTTGGAAAAGGAATATTTCTTAATTATGTAGACTCTGTTTATGATTTATAATTCTTAATCTTTATTATCTGATATGCTACGATATTATTGCACATGATTAGTTACATTGATTATTCCTGGTTGTGTTTGAGAACCCCTAGCAGTTCATGACTTAGTGACCTCGTGTGTCATGAACAGACTTAGTGACATGTGTGAGTGTGTTGACTGAGTTTAGGTGGTGAACCCGAGTTAATAGAGATTATGATAGTTGATTAGACAAACAAGAAGAGTTGGGATAGGAAAGTCCATATTCATGTGATCGGATATAACTGTTGATGTATCTTCCAGGCTCACCCCATGATCCAGTGTAGCTTGGGGTTAGTTTGTTGGGTCAAAGTGAAGCCAGTGTAGTCACTTTGGTCCGTGAATTTGATATTCACCCGGGTTTTGCTTGAGTTCGAACCAGGCTGAAAACGGATTGCGTGTAGCCCTCTGACCGATCCAGTGTAGTGGCGTATTAGGTGCACGTAGAGGATTTGTGAACAGTCAGTTATCCGATGATATGAGTGTTGACTCTATGTGAGATGTGGACCAGTGACTTGAGATAGGATGGCTAGTTATATGACCTTGATTATTGGATAAGTATGATTCTTGTGAGATGTAGATTAGTTGTATTTCTTTCATACATAGATCGGGATTAATATTTAATTATCTATAATTTGAGACATATGGTATATACACGAGGGTTTCCTTATTTGGATTATTTCGCTCGACATACTACGTCTCGAGTTGTAGATTTTTAAATACTTGGATGATTATTCTGATCGTTAG